GAAGGGACGTCACCTTCGGGTCTGCTATTAACTAGCTCCAGCATATTAACAGTCCTCACTAGGGACAAATACATAAGACTGGAATCCAGATCTGACAACAGAGCCTAATTTCGCTATTTCTCCACCAAAACAAAAAACTGAACTCAGAAAGTGACTGCACTCCCAGCTGTGTGGGCCACGTTCCTACAAGAGGGACCTTGCCTTTCGTTCTCCTTCAGGATCCCGCTCTCCCTCAGGAAGGCCCAGAGGCGTGGGGAGATGAGTGTGGCTACATCACATCTGGAACGCGGCAACAAAATCTGTTCCCCCGGCTCGGGTCCAGCAGCCCCATAGGTCATTTAGCTCACCACTCCCACATCCTGGGAAAAGCCGCGCTCTGAGGGTGGGGTAGGGAGCGCTACGCAGGCGCAGAAGGCAGCTGTGCGGGTGGCGGGACCCAGTGCGCAGGCGCGCCTCTCAGGACGGTCGCCCTTTCCTCCTTAGGGCAGATCCGACGCGACCTCACTTTGCCGCCCTCTGGCCCCGCCCCCTGTAAGCCCCCTTCCGACGTTGCCATGAGTACCCAGAGGCCGCACGGGGGCTTGTAGTAGCCGCGGGGCCTGCCCGGTCGCCTCTGTGCACCCGGTGGCGGGGACAGTGGGAGCCCATGGAACTCTCAGTAGCGCCCGTGAAGAGGTCCAGGAAGCGGTCAGGCCTGGGCCGTTGCAGGCATTTTTTCTGGCTGGGTGTCATCTTCGACGCAGTGGGCGTGGCGGTACTGTTCACTGGCGTCTTCGCCAACCTGCTGTTCTACGACATGCTAGTGTACCTGGGTTCCATCATCATCTTCTTCAGCCTACTCTGGTGGATCTCCTGGTACACCGGCAACATCGAACTGCTCCCCGAAGAGACCAAGAAGAGGGCCTCCCGCGTGCCCTCCACCGCCGTGGTGCATGCCCTGCGCCAGAGCGTCAGCCACCGCTTCTCTTTGACCATCGACCAAGTCTCCAGCACCTTTTTGCGGATCCATCGGCGGCGCCGGCGCCGCCAGAGGACCCTTCAAAGTACACCTTCCCTGAAAATGACCGTGTCGGGCCTGGTGGAACAGCTGGAAAAGGAGAACAAGGACACAGAAGGAGGGGAAAGTGTCAAAGAGAGCGGTTCCCTTCAAGACTCTTGCAAAGAGAATCTGGGTCCCAAGCCTGAAGATGACAAACGTTCAGAGACAGTTGTCTCCCCAGACCCTTATGCTGGGCCGCCGTGGTTTGGTCAGCAACCATCGACCCAACTGGTGCCGCCTATGTTCCCACCAACCCAGCCTCTCCCTCCCACTGCTCTGGCCTCTCAAAGCCTGCCTGTAGTTTCTTTGGTCTCTGTTAGTCAGCCTTTAGCCATTTCTAGGAGCCAGCCTGTAGTTTCAGTGGCCCCTAGGACCCAGCCTCCAGCTACCCTTGCCCTGACGCGGCAGCCTGCAGTGCCCTTGGGCTCTGAGAGCCATCCTGTGGTTTTACAGACCCAGTTTGAGAATCTTCCTCAAACTGAAGCTCAGCCCGGTCAGGGTTCTGGAACCCAGAGTCTGGCCTCCCAGGTCTCTCTAATGCAGTTTGCAGCTGCCCAGTCTTTTCAGACTGTGGACTCACAGCCTGTCCACAATTTGGAGGCCCTGCAGCAAACTCTTCAGGGTACCCAGAGCACCTCTTTGATCCCAGAGATTTTTATAAAGCAGCCTTCCTATGACCTCCAGGTTCCTAAGAATCAGGTTGCTGAGGGTTTTGAGACTCCACCACAGCCCAGCCAGAAACCATCTCAGGAGCTCCCTGACATCCCATCACCTGTCATTGACGCCACACCTCCAGCCAGGCAGGCCCAGCAGTCTGTCTCCACTGAGAGTGCTCCAGCCTCAGTGGAAGTGAAGAAAAGTCATCCCCTCTAGTAGGGACCAGACTCAGCCATTTGAGTAGCTGCTCAGGCCTCTGCCAAGTAAGTGCCTTTGGAGGAAGAATCAACCTGTATTAGTGCTTGTTAGTCCTGACCTGTGTTCTGGTGGTTTCTTTGACCCCTCTTGACCAAAAAATAAAGTTAGTGGAAGCGAAGTGGTCTTGTCCTTTAGAGATGACCTATTTAGGACATTAGTAGGTTTTTTAAACCCAGTGTTCTGAATGGATGAATGCTCTAAAGATTTTGCCTACTGTGCCGTGAAATCCATCCCTTTTACTTAGGCTTAGTAGAGAGAGGGTGGTAATTCCATTCTTTGGGGAGGTATAAGGTCTGGGAGTGAGTGGAGGATTTGGGCTTTGCAAGGTTTTTGAAATAAGGTGATTTTAGGTAGTACAGGACCCAGCATTACATAGCCTTGAGACCTGGGGTGGGAAAATAATTCGCTTTTCAGTTCTTTTTCAGTTCTTCTGATTTTTATCAGGGATACTGTTCTTAGTTTGAGGTTAGTTATCCTTACTACCTCTCTGCTGCTTTGTTTGAATTTAAGAGCATTTGTGTTTACAAACATTTAAATGTGTAACATCTACTTATGCCAAATGATACTGATTTTCTGTTTATAATAGAGATGGTTGCTTTTTGAAATACATTTAAGTAAAACAACTTCTACTTGAGTCAATTTACAGGTAAAAATTAATTGTACAAGTGAAAACGAATGATTCTTAAGTTTGGAAAACATTCCACTATTCCTGTTATCACATGAACTTTCTACCAAATCACAAGATCCTTCATGCTAACCTGTTTAGTGAACTTATTAGTAAGGCTGTTGAGGACAAATTCCACTTAACCCCCAACCTCTTGTCAATTAGAAAAGTACCAAAGGTCAGAATTGGTGACCTTGCTTCTGTCATAATTATGTATATATCAATATATCATTGCATTCAAGGGTCTACAATGAACATTGGTGAGTACAGATTTCCTAGTCTTTCTCCAGTACTATTTCAGAAGTTATGTGCTGCAGGTTGGTGTGGTGCATACCTATAGTCCAAGCCCTTTAGAAGGCCAGAAGTTTGAGACTAGCCTGGGCACCACAGCAAGATCCAATCTCTCAAAAAAAAAAAAAATAGCTGAGCACAGTGGCTCTTACGCTGTAGTCCTAGCTACTTGGGAAGCTGATACAGGAGGATCACTTGAGCCCAAGAGTTGTAGCTTACAGTGAGCTATAATGTGCCACTACACTCTAACCTGGGCTATAGAGTGAGACCCTGTCTTTAAAAAAAGTTACCTGCTTTAAGGGATGGGGGAGAGCAATATGTCAGTCTCCTTCTTGTTTAACTCTACCAACATACTATCCAGGTCATTTGTCTTTATTGCATGTTGATTGGTTTTATTTCCTTACAATTTTCTTCAAATTTCCTTTAAGAGAATATACATTCTTTTCTCCAGATATATACACACATGTATAACCTATGGATAATACGCAGGGACAAAGTATTTTTGGCTATTTTTGGTTTCATACAGTTTGAAGGCTTGCATTTAATATGAAATACATTTAATGATTTATGTTTATTTCTATTTTTAAAAAAGAAAAAAAGGCTGGGTGCAGTGGTGCATGACTTTAATCCTAGACTTTTGTGAAGCCAAGGCAGGAGGATCATTTGAGGTCAGAAATTCTAGACCAGCCTGAGCAAAAGTGAGAGACTCTTCCTCTTCAAAAAATAGAAAAATTAGCAGTGCATGGTGGTGCATGCCATTAGGCCTAGCTTCTCAGGAGACTGAGGCAAGAAGATCACTTGAGCCCGATGGGCATGGTGGCTCATGCCTGTAATCCTTGCACTCTGGGAGGCTGAAGTGGGTGGATTGTTTGAGCTCAGGAGTTCGAGACTAGCCTGAGAAAAGTGAGACCCTGTCTCTACTAAAAATAGAAAAACTGAGGCAAGAGAATCCTTTGAGTCCCAGTTGAAGGTTGCTGTGAGCTATGACACCACAGCACTCTATCCAGGGCAACAGCTTGAGACTGTCTCAAAAAAAAAAAAAAATCACTGAGCCTAAGAGTTTGAGGTTGAAGATGCCATTGCACCCTACCTCAGGTAATAGAGTGGGAGACCTTGTCTCAAAAATTAAAAATTAGGTAAGATACAGTGGCTCAAACCAGTAATCCCAGAGGGAGGCTGAGGCAGGATTGCTTGAGGCCAAGAATTGGAGACTGGGTAACATGGCAAGTCCTCATCTCTACAAAAAATTTAAAAAAAAATTGGAGGCACACACCTGTAGTCCCTAGTTACTGGGGAGGCTGAGGCAGGATAACCTGAACCCAGAAATTCAAGGTTATAATGAATTGATTGTGCCACTGTACTCCAGCCTAAGCAACAGGGTGAGACTCTGTGTCAAAAATAAATAAATAATTAACAATTAAAAAAAAATAAAAAAGCAAAACACCAACAAACTATAAAGAAGGAAAGGAGTTGGTGTTATTGCATAAAATCCTTATTTTTCCCCTTAATTCTATTGTTTCAGGTAATTTACATGATTGAAACAATTCTTTACCTAATTCTTAGAGATGAGTGTTAAATGCCAGGAATAAGATAAGGATGACTAAATATGAAAGGATGCAGATCTTTCCATCAGAAACTTTTGTAGTCTTTGTTCTCTAAATGAAAGGAGATCAAAAAAAATTCAGAGAAAGGCAGAAAAAAGAGCTGGGAGTGGTAGCTGAAGCTTATAATCCTAGCTCTGTGGGAGGCTGAGCTAGGAGGATCACTTGAGGCAGGGAGTTTGAGACCCACCTAGGCAACATACAAAAAATTCCTACAAAAAATTTAGAAAAAGAAAAATAAAGAGGACAGAATTTTAGAAATGATATGGAGGGGAAGGCTCTGTAGTAGACCAGTGGAAAAATTATCTTTTCAAAATATCAAGGAATTACATTAAGCACTAGAGGTTCAGAGCTAAATATAACATCCCTGTTCTCTAAGCACTCATCATCTATTAAGGGAGATAGTCACAAGCGTATCTTCCACAGTGTAACATAATAGAAGTCTACCTAAAGTGCTTTGGGAGTATAGATTAAGTGAAAGATGTTTGAGTTGGACCCTAAAGTAGTTATTCATTGGGTAAAGAAGATGGGGAAGAACATTCCATGGAAAGGGAAGAATACCAACAAAAATGCCCAGAAACTTATAACAGTTCATGGCTGGTTGGGGACAGCTTTGCAAAAGGATAGCCTGATGCTATTAATAGTCAGGGACGCTGGAGACTCAGGCTGGAGAAAGAGAGAGAGGCATATGTAGTGTCTGAAGGTGAAGTTAGTGAGGTTAAAATCGGGCTTGATGGTGGAGAATCTTTCCAGGGAATAAAAAAAATCACTGTTACAGGCACTAGGAAACTTTTGAGGGCTTTTAAAACAAGGTAGAGTTGTGTTTATAGTTTCTAATTCCACCTGTGGCCTCTGCTATAAAGTAATGACAATAGGCCATTTGGTTCAGAGTAACTGCTACAATCTATCTCATTTAGTTCTGAACTGAAAACAGACCTCTTAAACCTTAGCAACAATTTATAACCAAGTGAAGGCTCCATGGGTATTTTGCCAAGAAAACACTTTCAGGTTATTTATTTACTTGCACAGGCACTTTTTTGCTACATAGATACCATGTAGAATAAATAACAAATACTACATCACATTTCTATGAGTACTTATCTAAAACAGAGATTGAGTGATTTTTTTTTCTGTAAAGGCCAGAACAGTAAATATTTTAGACTTTGTGGGCCAAAAGGCAAAAGTGAGGATATTATGTGGCTCCTTATCAGACAAGAGAGAAAATTCTTGCCCTGCTCTTGCCTGTTTGCCTGAAGTAGGCTGTACAGTTCCTTTGACTCCAGTTGCATTGGGTGGAGTCATTGGCCTGATCAAAGGCAACTGGCCAGAGGGAAAGGGGGCTTGGCTGGGTGATCTATAGGCAACTCATTCTGTTTCACTTTGAAACAGTCTCTGTCACCCAATGACTCCCTGATCTGGGCCCACCATTTTTATGGAATAATAGGCCTTCTCAGTTTGGTTCTCTGGCCCTCCAAGGTAATTTGCTAAGTCTCTAACTCCCAGATTAAGATTCCACCTTTTGGAGCCTGATGTTTTCCAATAGGAGAATCTCCCATATGTAGGTAGAGATGTCCAGATCCTCAACAGAGAGCCAAGCAGTAGGAGCATTGCAGGGTGAAGGGGTGGAAACTGAAGCCTCAGTTTCTTTGAGGCTCAAGTACATAGCCCACAGCAGTACAAACATGCAGGGTGGAACTGGTGCTACTGGCATCTGGTGGTAGTGACCAGAGATGCCACTAAACATCCTATGATGCACAGGAGAGCACCCACAACACAGAATTATCTGGCCCAAAATGTTAATAGTGTTAGACTGAGAAACCTTCATCTATTTTTTTTGCAGTTTTTGGCCAGGGGTGGGTTTGAACCTGCCATCTCTGGCATATGGGGCTGGCGCCCTACCCTTTTGAGCCATAGGCGCCACCCACCTTCATCTATAATAATCAAAAATTACCATAGTTCATGTGATACTTTAAAAATTTTAATTCAGGCTCAGCTCCTGTGGCTTAAGTGGCTAAGGTGCCAGCCACATACACCTGAGCTGGTGGGTTCAGGGTTCAAATCCAGCCCAGGCCCGCCAAACAATGACGGCTGCAACTAAAAAATAGCTGGGCATTGTGGCGGGTGTCTGTGATCCCTGCTACTTGGGAGGCAGAGGCAGGAGAATCGCTTGAGCCCAGGAGTTGGAGGTTGCTGTGAGCTGTGATGCCACAGCATTCTACCCAGGGGGACAGCTTGAGGCTCTGTCTCAAAAAAAAAAAAAAATTTAATTTGATCCTTAGGTGGCGCCTTAACCCTTGTATAGTAATTGTATCTTCTCTACATGAGAATCCTCTTCATTTGTGTTCTCTCTTTGTAACCCCATTTTGTACATCTATGTACAACACACATGTGGGGCATTCAGAGTAACTGACCTTTACTGAATGCTTATAATTCACATGTTCTCCACATCCTCCTAAGTGAAGGAATTGTGATATTCCTCACAACAATCAGAGTTGGACACCATTATAATCTTCAATTCAGGGATAGATTTGATATTGAGAAATTAAATAATTTTTCCAATCTCACACAAATGGAGGAGCTGGAATAGATGTGTAATTAATGGATATAAGGTATATATTGCAAAATTTCCTTTCATATTAAAGTTATTAATGATCCTTTTCTAAGCCTGTTGATTGTAACTTGAGCTGTAATACTCCAGATTAATCTGTGGGTTACTTTTTTTTTTTTTTTTTTTGAGACAGAGCCTCAAGCTGTCCCCCTGGGTAGAGTGCTGTGGCATCACAGCTCACAGCAACCTCCAACTCCTGGGCTCAAGTGAGTCTCCTGCCTCCGCCTCCCAAGTAGCTGGGACCACAGGTGCCTGCCACAACACCCAGCTAGTTTTTTGGTTGCAGCCATCATTGTTGTTTGGCGGGCCCAGGCTGGATTCAAACCTGCCACCTTAGGTGTATGAGGTGCCTTAGCCACTTGAGCCACAGGTGCCGAGTCTGGGTTACTTCTTGATTGAAAGTTTTACTAGCAGAGAGTAAGAAACAGCAACTGTTCACTTTTCTTGTTCTGCTTCAGATTATTTTATTTAGAAATATCTCAAATAAAAATTGCCTTTTTTTTTTTTTTCAGAACTCACCAATGTTTCTACAGATTTAACTGTCAACTTTATTAAAGCACAAATACTTATCATCTTATTCTGGAAACCTCTTCTGGAGTCCTGACCTCCCTCAGACCAGCAGACTTACTAAACTGCCTCTGCCAACTATACCTGTTTCAGTATTAAGGATAGTTTTCCAGCTTCTGATAGTAAAGTTATTTGTTGCCAGAATGTTAAGCCATAATAAACTGCGCCATTCCAAATGAACCTTCTTTTAAAGTAAGTTGGTTATGAAAGCATTCCAGCATTTAAACTGGAAAATAATGTCTTATGTACTCTGAGTGAACATGTATGTAAGTAAAATTCCCACAGAAATGGTTATTGAGAAATGCAGTTCTTTTTATTTAAGGATATTTTGTGACTTCATTATGAAATAGATATCAGAAGACATTAACACAACCAATGCATTGTAATATGCTATAACTTACATGTATATGCTCACAACTTCTGGTTTCTCATTTTCCCAAGGATTTAAAATCTGATTGATTGCATATTTTAATGATAATCTAATAAAATTCATTTAGGCCTGCCTCTTTTTATGCTTTATCTTTATGTTGGTGGTTTGTATAAAAATGCTCTAATATAGGCTTAGTTTCCTTTTGAGATTTTCAGTTATAGACAAAAATGGATGTTTAAATGATCTAGTACTTTGGATAGAAACTTCCAAAAATGCTAGTTGTTTTTATAGTTCTCTTTTCTCTGTCCCATGCTTCAATATTTCTATATTTATAATTACAGTAACTCAAGCTGGAAGACTTTATGCATTGCAGATGCTTGGGAAAAGAATTGAGAGAACTTTATTCTAAGTGAAATAAGCCAATCACAGAAAGACAAATGATATATGTTTCCATTTACCAGTATATGAGATACCTACAGTAATCAGATTCACAGGGACAAAGTAAAATGTTGGTTGCCAGGGCTGTAGGGAGGGTGACATGGGGACCTATTTAATGGTTATAGAATTTGAGTTTTGCAAGATGAAAAAGTTCTAGATGTGGATGCTGGTGATAGTTGCAAAACAATGTGAATGTACTTAATATTACTGAATTATACACTTAAAAATGGTTAAGATGGTACATTTTATGTGTATTTTACCACAAAAATTGAATTAAACTGGCAATTTGTAAACCATATTACATCTATAAATTTCTTTTGAAGTAATAAATATATACAATAGATGAGCTTCTATATGCAGAGGGTGCAAAAAAATGAATACACTTTAAGAGATCTTATTGAAAGTAAAATCTGTCAGTACTCAGTATATACCAATAACAAAAGATAAATACAAGTCATGTTTGAGCACCTCTTGTAATTGTAGAAGTCAAACTTGAGTATTACAATTTTAATGTAGTTTTTTCTTTTCTTAAAATGTTAATACATTTTGGGGGGACCCTCTATATATGTATATAGAAGGCATCAGGTGATATTTTAATAACTCTAGAAATACAGTTAAGAACTTAGAAAAAAATCTATTTTAATGTACTGCAGAACAAAGGACATTGTAGAAGGCGGGTTGTGTGCATTTTCAGGAACCTACAGAAAAGCCTTTTATCATGCAATGGCTAATCAATACTAGTAATCAATACTAGCATGACTGGATTTTATCTTGGGTAAGTAGAGGTAGTTCTTAAGAACTTTAGGTGCTACCTACAGTGTGCCTAGAAGCAGAAAATGAAAGAAAATATGAACTTTTCAACTTAGTGAATATAAGTGTTTATGTATTTTAAAAACACTAAACTTCTCTGATTTATTTATTTATTTATTTATTT